AAAAAAAAGTAATCAAGTCCTCCATCATCCTGGCTCACTGATGGAGCAGAGGAACACAAAGCCACCTTAATGACTTCTGGTGAGCATGTCCTTGTTTGGTGACCTTAGGAGCAGGAAGTCATTTGTTGTTCTAATTGCTACACTGGGCACAATCCCCAGGCCACAAATGGTGGAACTGAATGTAGCTATCAGTCTCAGCCCAATAGAACTTGCTCAATGGAACCTCTGTGATCCATTGTAGGGTAATTCTGGCTCTTAAAAGACAGAAAGCAGGGAGAAGGATGCAATTCACAGTGTCCATCATACGTGAAAAGTCTCTTCTTTCCATTGGCCTAATTTATAATTTAGTGATTCATTTTCTTCCATGGGGAAGCCATTCTAGATCCAAAAAGATTCTGTTTGAATGAGAATTGGTATCAATAAGCACATGGAGAACAAGTAAACATGATTTAGTTCATCATTTGTTCTAACTCAATCCCTTTTCCCGTCAATCATTGCCCTTCTTTCTTGGCTCCAAATCATCTGAGCAGACCAGCTTATAATGCAAAGGGAGATAAACAATTCTCAAGATGGATGGAAAGTGAATACTATGTTTTTTATTTCCCTGGCACTTCTAATGTTCTCAATCTCTCTCAAGTTAGGTAGGCATGGTCTGCTTTTAGCAATAGAAGAACTCAGTAGAGAAAAAATACGACTAAAGATTCTCGAACCTCAATAAGAGTTAGCAGCAGAACATAGAGGAAAACCTACATATCAGGTCCCTGGGTCAGGACATATTCTTCATGTTAGGTCCTGTAGGCATGTGGACAAGTGACCAATCTCTAAACTGGCCATAAATGTTGGCCTTCATCGTCTCCAGAAGGCTAAAGTCCTGCATGTACCTGTGTATGCAACAAGGCAAATGTGGATACTGATAATGAAAAACTTGAAAAACCTGGAAGATGTTTCTTGGAATCCAATGTACTTGTTATAGTCTAAAAGCACAGATGTCACTCTTGTAACTGACACAGGACATTGGTGATAATGATAACCCAGGTAGTTAATCCTCCCAAGAATGAAACAAAGTACCAGAAATCAAAATTTAAGCTAAAATCCATGAAAAGATAGGAAGTAAGGACTAATTGGAAAATGGGAAGAAAATGTTCAAATGAGAAGGGGAACAAGGGGGAGGGAAAAAGGAAGAAAGGGATAAGAAAAAAAGTGAAAATAGAAGGAAAAATGAAAACAAAGCTCTTATACATGAGGAAAGGAGGGGGGGTCAAATGAAGGGAGAATGGAAAAAAAAAAAAAGAAGAGGCAGGATATGGCATATACCAGTGCGAAGTCCCTATGATGAGTGTTACCATTATGTATAACTAAAATGTGCTAGTAAATGTTTTGCTTAAAAAAATGAAATCTATGAAAAAATAACAAAACTACTTTCTAAGTGGTTAACTTTTATATGAGCTAGTAGCCAAACTCTTGGATTACAAGAAATTCTGAGCCTCCTGAAAAAGGGCGGGGGGTCATGCCAACTTAAATACAGCAAAAGTTCCTAAGGACTTTTTCCCTACCTTTGACTTGAGTATCTTGTACCTTGTCTCTGATTGCAAAGTGTGTGTGTGTGTGTGTGTGTGTGTGTGTGTGCATAAATATATTTGCACTGCACCATGTGTGTGTGTTTCATTCTGTGGGCTAGGACCACATAGTGTCCAGAAGAGAGATCACATATTATGGTAGAGCACATGTTACTCAGTTCATTTTAATTCAGCCAAAAAAAAAAGAAAGACCAGATAGGTGCTGACAACCTGCTGTGTGTCCAGAATCACATAACTTGCAGCAGATACTTGCGTAGTGTACTTGATGCTGAGATAGAATGATACCCAGGGGGGCATCAGCCCTCCGTATCAGGATCTTTGCTCGTCTTATGAGGGAACAGGAAAGCTTTCCCCAGAAGCTGATACCTACAACTGGAAAAGTCATTATCTAAAGAAGAGAAGATAAGGAAGGAGATTCTCCATGGAGAGAGTAACATGAGAAAAGTAAAGGGCCAGGGACACAAAGGCATATTTGAAGATCTATAGGTAGCTTGGTATTGATGAAGAGTTCAGAGTGATGCTGAAATGGGGCAAGGAATGTACACAGGGGTCAGGCATAAGTCAGTCCTGAAATTTTAAAGGTTCTTCATAATACAGATGAATAAATTATATTTAGGTCTCATCCCTTTCTGATATGAAAATTCTAAGAATTCAGTAGTGTGAGGTAAGGGATAAAAACCTGAAAAGGCAAGGCTGTGGTTTTGCTGTGATCCAAAGACTTACTTAAAGGTGATCAATGTCTACAAGAGCTAAAAGCAGAGGTCAAACATTGTTGAGATTTCAGCTTGTTGTATACCACCTTTTAGGAGAACTATGAAGACTCAGATCCTACTTCCTTAGATGTAACTAACAGGATATATACAAAAGCGTAGGTCCTGACTACAGCTCTGTGTGTGTCTAAGAATAAATGAGAAAGAAATCAGGACATGAGATAAAAGGGAGAAGGAGAGGATCAAACTTTGCATGATAGGAGCAAAATATCGTCAGTGGCCCAAAAGTATAAGATTTAAAATGGAAAAATTGAAGAGGAAATGATTTTAAAGGTGTATGGTTGAATACAAGCTCTTGAACTTGCTCTATAGGAAGGCTCAGTAGCAACTATTACAAAGAGCAACACAATTAGAAAACTCAGAATTAAGTAGAAATAGTGGACGCTTTCTCAGGGTGGAAAAACGATAGACACTGCTGTTATTAATATAATTTCAAACTAAGGCAAGAAATATCTTTATTAAATAATAAGAGGAAAGTCTGTGGAGCATTGGGAGAAGGGGTATTGGAGAATTCCTCAATGTCTCACCTCTCCCCCTTTTCTTCTCAAATACCTCTTGTTAAAGCTGTGGCAAAGTCAAAGAGCAGGCGGTTCTAGAGTACGTAGGGTCAGCTAGTCACTCTTCAGAATCCAGGACAAAATGCAAGAGCCGAATCACTTATTCAAAAACCAGAATATAACATGCTATTAATGGTACTAAAATACAGAGGTTTGTTTTCCCCTTCTTGCTTAGTTTTTTCTTTTTCTTTTTCTTTTTCTTTTTTTTTTAGGGAGTTTCACTTATTATTCTAATGCTCTAAATAAAGAAAAAACATTTTAGCTTATTTTCATGAATTTCACCATTCATTACACTGTGCAAGGCCAATCCTAAATGCAAATGAAAAGATTTTTAACTGATACACAGAATAT